TACATACATACATACATATGTATGAATGTATGTACACATATTTACAGACACTCTACATGCATAGACGTGTATCTGCGTATGGATGTTTATGTACGTGACTGTGTATTCATTCGACAGCTTCTTTGCTGGCTTTTTCTTCTTGATGAGCTGTATAAGATGCATACATTACGAAGACCTGAGCCGCACTTTAGGCCGAGGCCGCCAGTGGACGCCAAAGACCAAAGATGTCTGGTCCAGCCCAGGTGGGATAAAGAAACCTCATTTTAGAGTTTAGGACGTAGGCTTTCAGGGCTCTACAGGGGCTTCTGGCACTCGCTTAGGATTCAAGGGTTTCAAAGGCTCAGGATGGATAGATAAACCTCGGATACAGGCTGCAGTTGAAGGGCTCTATTAGGGTACGATAAGGTATAGCGTTTAGGGCTTCGGGCTTTGGGGCCTAATGCAGCCTAGAATAAAGGGTACTGCGAGGGTTCCTTCAAAGGGTGAAAGTACTATTTATCATAAGGCCTGCATGGGCTTGGCGCTCTAGCTCTCGGATTTAGGGTTTCGGGATTCGGGGTTTCAAAACTCAAAACAGTCTTTCAAGGTCTTTCTTTTGACCAGGCTTTCAGCTAAACCGGAGCCCATAAAACCCCCCAACCCCCACCCCTCCCCCCCAAACAAAAACATACAAACAACAAGCAAGCAAAACATGTGAAAGCTTTCTGGAGATACTGTTGATGATAGAAATCCTGCATTACCTTAAGGACCCTAAACTAGGGGTTATGGCACATTCGTTGTTGTGGGTAATGCAGGAGTTATATCAACAACCGTATGGTGGAAGCCTGGCTTTCGAGGCTTCCAATCCTGAATCCTCCTTGCTGGCACGCCTCTTTCCATACACAGGAAGGTGGGTTCTCTAACATAAAAGGGGCTATAAGGGCTTCTATACCACAAGGGTTCTATGAGGGTAGTTATCTAACTTAGGGTCCCTGTTAAGGGTTGCTTTAATTTACAGGGGATCTAAGGGCTTCTATACCACAAGGGTCCTATGAGGGTCCTCTAACTTAGGGTCCCCCTAAAAGGGGGGTTCCTGTAGCTTAAAGGGGATATAAGGGTTTCTATAGGTGTTTGCATAAGGGCACCATAAGGGTTCTCTGTGGGTAGTTCTCTAAATTCGGGTCCGCTTTTGGGTCCCCATTATAGTACGGCACCGTTATAACAAGACGCCAAAAAGGACCCGAACTTAGAGAACTACCCAATGAGGAGATTCGGGTTTAGGGTTTAGGGTTAGAAGTGCGTACCAAAAAACAGAGAGATGCTAGGGTTTAAGGGTTAGGGTCTAGGCTAGGCATCCCTGAAAACAGAACCGCGGCTGCGTCCAGGCGTTGTACAACCGGTAATTGAACACTGTTGGCTTCTGGCCTGGAATGGGGGAGTTGACTCAGCCAAACCTCGAAGTGGTTCAGTCTTCCAGATTTTGGCGCACAGGCTTCTAGTTGTTGTGGTGCTGAAACCAAAACCCTATAAATCCTTGAAGGTCACTCTAAACCCTCAACCCTGAACCCCTCAACCCTGAACCCTGATCCCCTACACCCTAACATCCATCTGGCCAGGGCAGTGGATCATCCGACCCGAATCCGAAACTCGAACATGCAATCATGAAACGACTCCCAGCAAGGTTAGGGTTTAGGGTTTAGGGTTTAGGGGTGTCGGGGTTAGAGTTGAATCCAGATACTGCACCTCTCAAGAACAAAGCGCTGCACATGTACACCAGTTCTCCTTCGGAAACCGAACCCCCTTCGCTGCAAAACCGAATGACCCCAAACCCCTTGCAGCCCGAATCCTAACCCCTAACCATCTCAAACCGTGCCCTTATTCCTTAGAACCCTAAACCCTAAACCCTAGGGTTTAGGGTTTAAGGTTAGTCCTTAGAACCCTAAACCCTAGGGTTGAGGGTGTAGGTTTGAGGGTTTAGAAGCTCCTACCTGGAAGCTGAGCTGTGCGGCCATCGGTGCATCTCCACATCGGCCGGCAACAGTGCCTCGAACGGATAAGCAGGCGCACGCAGGCTGATTTTGAAAGGAGACGTGTCACCTATAGGGCCTTATGGTTAGGGTCTATTCAGGATTTAGGGTTTAGCGTGTACGATTTTCGGTCTATTCCTTACCGTCCTTCATCCCCTGAACTTCTTAAAGCCGATGTACAAAACACCCACTATAAACCACCCACTACTAACACCTACAATACCTTGATAAAGCCCTTCAAAAATCCGATAGGTCTGCGGGAACTTGAGGATCCCACGATCTACCTATAGTCTCCATTGTAGTTCCTTTTTGGGGATACCGTATAAAATCCCTAACATTCTATTTGATTAAAACCAAGGAAAGGAACTACAATCGAGACTATAGGTACTCTCCCTTCTCTCGCGCCCGAGCTCGCGGCGTAGAGCTTGGATCCGTCTGAGGTGACCTGTCGGTTGAGGGTCTATAGGGTTTAGGGTTTGGGGTTTGGGGTTTGGGGTTTTAGGGTTTAGGGTTTAGGGTTTACGGTTTAGGGTTTAGGGTCTACAGGTCCAGACCTTCCAATGTCCCGGAAGTTAGGAATATACCGGAAGTGTTACTAGGATCCCTGACATGATTCCCTAAAGCCTAAAACCCAAAACAATAGGATCCCTAACATGATTCCCTAA